GATCGTTTCGCTAGATAAGACCCTTATTCCTCGTCTGGGATCGTGTAGAACGCTTTGAAGCTGCACTGCAATTTGAACCTTCCACCCAGTGAACTCCACTGAAGTCCACTATATAGAGAAAAACCCTGGAATGTTTTCCTCAAAAACCTTAATTTCTTTTCGACTGAAGAAAGAAAGACATGAACATCTTGGATGACATGGGGGTGAGTAAATTATGAGGAAATTTTAATTCAGAAGTGAACTAATCCTTTAAAGATGTCTACGTTCTACTTTTCAAATGAATTTCAGGTATCATGACTAAATGTGTCCTAATTATGGCTGTATATAAATATATCCGCTTATCTTTCAGCTGGAAGGACTTTTTAAAGTTATTAACACGTTAGAGTGATTAATAAACATGGATGAATGAGAAAGTAAAGAGTGTGACTGTGACGTGGTTGGTATTAAAAGGAGGAATTAAAAGCACAATAAACTGCGAATGAGAACCAAATCCAGTAATGACATACTGACGGTGTCGGTGGCTTTCTGTGCACACACCGAGACGGAGCGGAACGCGCTAACGCTAAGTATATTTTGGGTTTCAAGCACAAAAATATGTTAAAATGCCCATCTTGGTGAGAATTCACACAAACACAGTCAGTTATGTGCACAAAACATTTGGGAGAAAATTGTATGCGTGTCAGTGTATCTGTGCATTTGGTCTTAAAGTGATAGCAGTCTAATAAACCTGCTGCTGTCATTAATGTTAATCAAACAACAAAAGAAAAAGAAAGAAATTGACTTACTGCGCTTGCCAACTAATTTTTGTAGCCTTAAGAAAAAGCAATGCATATTTCTTGCATGCAGAGTTGTATTTTACATTTGATTGCTTTATTCAAGCTTCATAGTATTACCTGAAAAATTTAAAGCACATTTTACTTTATTTGCTTTTGTATTTGCTTCCGTTCTGACTTGTCTTTAATAAGCTTGAGAACTTTTTACTTATATTACATGTAGGGCTTGCTAGTTTTCACTGCTTAGTAACTTGCAAAATAGTCTTAAAAACCAACATGAAAAAGAATTGTGATAAGATCATGCATCGTGATATGATATTTTTGCCACATCGGTCACCCCTAGTTTGATAAAATGCGCACTGATTAATTCAAGACAAGTGCAATAAGTGCATTATGTAACATGTCTATTTTGATTTCATGTTGATTAAATATTAATCTTGAGCATGTCTTAACCAGGTGCTCATGAAGGCCATTTCACATGACTCACATTAGGGTTATTTCACACCGCTCAATGCAAGAGTTGCACGCAGCTTTGACATCCACATGACAAGTGTTTCAGATAGCGTCACGAAAGGGCAATTTTATGTTCCTTGGTAACAAGAAAGTGGGAATTGTACACCATAAACGGTATTTGACAGCATAAACGGTAAAAACATGTATTTGACCTTCAAATTAGTATAAATGTGATTGCTTTGATAGAACAAAGAAAAGAAAAGAAAAAAAGCACTCATCGAATGTGGGTTCACTAAACTAAGTTTCAGGATGCTATTGGTGAATTTAAATTAGTTCAAGAAACAAAGCACCATGATGACAGTTTTCAGTTTCTGCTCTTTTTTATTTTTTATTGAAGTCAATGTTCAACCCATTCTCAACTTCTGCAGTGTAAAGGATTAATTAGTACATTTGGATATTCAATGTGAAAAAGTCGAGTGGGACTTGATTTTATGGAGGGCATTATTTTTCAAAATCTAGATGAGTAAACTGCATAAAGTGTTATCAAATGACGACAGCATGTAAAACAAATATAGTGTTTGTTGGTTAGTGTCACTTACAAACTTCCAGACAGAACTCAAAAAAACCTGAAATTAAATGAAAAGTCAGGCAAAACAGCATTTTTTGTAGCCCAAAAAAAAAACGGAGCTGCAGCATGTAATTTCTGCACCACTAGTGACACCAAAAAGAACCTCAATCTGTTTGCTTGGGCATAGGGCTGTGCAAAAAAATCGAACACTGACAAACTACACAAAATCGCGTTCAAAATCGCAGGCGATACATTGCCGATTTTGAACACGATTTTGTGTAGCTTGTCAGTGAACTACGGCTCTGTGTAGTAAATGCCGCTCCATCTGAAGGCACGTGCTGGAGATTTACTACTAATCACAGGAGCGGCTTTACTGACGAGATGAGCATGAAAATCGCATTCGATTTTTTGCACAGCCCTACTTGGGCCTTGATATAACATTTCCTCAACCAATGGCATGACTTGGAAGACTGATGGAGGGAGTGTTTGAAACCTATTTTCAAACAGGTTTCACATTATTTTTACAATTTCATTGACGTACTACAGCTTTTCAACATAAACGTGAAATCAAAAATCAAATCAAATCAAAAATCGAAACATCGCTTACAGCACCCTTTAAATGTGTTGCAAATGTCATTTCATTTTCCCTTTAAGAGTACTTATTTTTTAAGACTGAGAAATTGAATTACTGCAAAGTCTGTG